TCATATGCCGCTAATGATCGCATCAGCAATTCTTATGTAAACGTCCAAACTGAAAGCGCGAACAAATAATGGGTTGATGGAAAGCATTATCTCATCTAATTTCTACGGACGCTTTCGCAGACAATTCTCCTGCTTTTGACGTATACGTCACACTCCCGACATCCATAAAAAGATTATACCAGCAGGATGTGTACTTCATTCATTTTGGATTATAATGCCTGCATGTCCGAATGTGATGTCTCCTATTCGACAAATTACTTATGAAAAACTTTTACGATTAGGAGATTAGGTAAAACAAGCTAACTATTCATTGTTTTGTACTCTCGAAAACAGAAGATTACCTCTGGATACTCACTGTTGGGTAGAATACAAAGCTCACGCTATAGTTGCTTTTCTCAATGTTTACTAGAGTTTGTTCTTTGTTCACAACACTCTTTTCTTCATTTTTCGAAAACCTAGCCTCCTGGGATCTCTACTATCTTTTAGTACGGTGTAATTAAATTATGTATGCCTCATACAAAAGATTAAAGCTGGGGGATCGGCGCTGCTAAGATTGCCAGAGTTTAAAAATTTCGAGTTGGGTATTTGAAAAGGCCGATAGCTGATTGAAAGTTGCGTACAAATGTTCCATATAGTTAATATTCTGTATATGATTTTGGTTGCTTCATAATCCTAAGTGTCGCACAGTAAGCCTGGCCTGCTAATATGAAATCTTTTATCGTTTACAATGGTGTCTCCAAAATCAAACACGCTTCTTGTTTATTTGTTGTAAATCAGTCATAAAGGTCTACGATTGACGGCGATGTTCGATGCGATTTCAACTTTTCGGAAGACTTAGTATATAACAAATTACTGTTAAAGTCCTTTCACAGGAAGTATATTTTTTTTCGTTCCAAATAGAAATAAACGACTGGGCGAATCGCTTGAAGAATTGCTCAAAAATTACTGAAAAGGATCGCCCATGCTTTTTCAAAGTTTGAAATCATTTTTACATGTCAGTCTTATTTTGTATACTGAAGTTTGTAGCAGTAAAGTTTGTGGAAAACTAATTTGCTACGTAAGTTTTATCACACTTAGGAAAAAAATCTTCGCAACCTTTCCAAAAGATTTTTTTCTTCTGGTTCTCAAATTTTGTGGAATCGTGTATTTTCAATTTCTATACGTCACAGACAAAAAACTCAATTTTTGAATTTTCCGAATTCTTGTGATTTTAGCAAATTTCCAATTTGTGTCCTTAGCGATCTCATTCCTGACTTCATTGATATGACTGTAATAGCTCCCGGAAATCCACTAGAAATCTTAAATGTGGAAAAATGAGAGGATATATACAAAGAAAAAATTAGAGGTTAAAGTGCCGCTAAAGAATTACCTTTACATTTATTGTAGCTTATGTCCGTGTGAAGGAAACGATGCCAGTGGATAGTCCTTTGTCCCTTCCCCACATGGTCAGATATAGGACCTAATTTTTATAGTTTTCGAGAGTAAGGTCAAGCAAGTAACAAAAGTTATGTAACGACCTATGTTGACCCCATTCACGACTTCTGGGAGAACACTACCTTGGTGGCGCTTTGTCCTGGATCTAGACTACAAGAACTGCACTGACGGAGAACTTAGGAAGTAATTCAACTGCTTTCTTTGTGTTGGCCGGGGACGGTGACCAGTCTGCTGTGAAACGATGCCGAAAAGAAACGACGTCGTCGGCGCGCACTCCAGCAACATATAGCACTGCCCTTATTCCTCAATGGAAGTCTTTGAATAGGGAATGAGTGACGTAGAGGGAAGCGTGCAGATCCAAGACGATTCGATCGATCCATGTATCCGCTCATTGTATTCGCGGCTAGGGACGCAAAACTGGAGAATAGCAGAAGATGTAACTGTAGCCGTGTTACTCTCATGTATGATCGCTTGAGTCGCTTGATTGAAGATGAATTGCAGTTCGTTAGCAGTAATGTCATGAAATGATTTTAGAGAAAAACGCCTTGAACCATGCCAATATTATGTGAAAACAGATTCCCCTTTGCCATTGATATTTCTCGTTTCTTTGAGGCTAAGGAGAGTTTTCCCTCCAAGCACTTATAGCTTGAAATTGAATGGAAAATCGTTTTTGAAATGAAGATTGGACGTGAAAGCGTCTATATTATTTTTTAAGGAAATTTTCAAAGTATCACCAGTACATGCTCTGTAGACTGCTTTTTCATATAGGGTCAGGGTCTCCCAAAAGTATGTGCCCACTGTTTGATTGTAATGACTGTCCAGCCCTGGGATATTTAACGGGCCTATGGTTACTATTATGTATTATAGATCTGACTTACTTGCATCTACAACAAAACGGCTCATCGTTCCTTTATCGTTCTATGGGATGGAAAAAAACTCCAGATGGGCCTGTGAAAAAACTGGTAGAAAGATAAACTAGAAAGATGCGTGGCAGTATTTTCACGCATGCTGATTGCAATACTCAACTTTTTTACGAAGGGAAGACTATCACAATGTACAAGGCATAAGTTATAAACGAACATTTGCGAAATTGCAAATTTAATATTAAAGTTCGCGACTCTCATAAGCCTAAGATGATCTCTTTTACTTTGTTTGATTCTCTTCTGAGGCGAAATATGACCATCATTGATCCGAAAGCTTCTTCAAGAGTTCTCCGTAGTTTAGTAACGAAGAGCAATCGTTACTTCGTTGTGAGCGTTGAAACCAGTTCCAAAAGAGTCTCGCTAGAGATCTCAGAGCAAAAAATTTATTCGCAGTCAAGCACTGGGCACGTTTTTTTTTCGTATAGATGTCATAATCTTATATATAAAGCTGAATGTCTGTTTGTCTGTCTGTATGTCTGTATGTCTGTCTGTCTGTCTGTCTGTACGTATGTTCCGAATAGAAAATTCCATTTTTGAACCGATCCGGACCAAACTTGGCACACATACACTTCGGGGCGGGGAGCGTGTCATAGTCAACTTTTCGTCATCGATCGATATCGATTTTATCGATTTTTTGCAAAATTTGAGCTACGGGGCTGGGAGTTGTTAGGGGGGTAATCGAGCATGCTGATTACGAATAAAATAATGACAGGGCCGGGCGGAGCCGGGTTAGCCATCTAGTCAACTCATAATCTTGCACTCATGTGGAGAAAACACTCAAATAGAATTCTTAGCTGTCCCTTCTCTGCAGTAAGCGATAAAATTGCCTTGTGAAAATCATTACGGTTTTGTGTTGTAATGAATCTTTGAGAATTGAGGTCTCATTATTAGGTTGTCCCGAAAGTAGATCCTTTTTGAATATTTCAAGCAGTTCTCGCTTTACGCAGACGTGGGGTATCTTTCGACAGAGCAGGTCAAGCCCTACAAAAAGACCGCCAAGGGTCCTCCTAAGTCGCATTTTATATAAAGTGTGAAGCAAAAATCGAAAAAAGTTGTCACCTGAAAATTGGATTTTCACGAGGATAAACCCTACGGACCTCCAACTTGGTCATTATACAGTAGGCACGTAGTAAAAGCAAATAGGCCTCTATTGGATTTTTTACGCGCATGGGAAGCTAAAAAAAGATAGTCCAAAAATGGCAGACTCCGCCCTCACCCCCTCCCACATATGTCATTGTATAGTATAAGCCTTTCTAATTATAATCTTAAGACTTTACTCTTTTATGTGCTCTTATGATCGAGAAATACCAAGTTTTACATGAAAACGCCAAAAAGTGGCATTTTGGCATTTTCAGACCATCTTTTTTTTAAATTTTGAGTCTCGGAAAAAATCAAACAAACACATTTTTGTTACTACAATGTGTATATTACAAAGTTTTGAAGTCCGTAGGAATTTTCTGGAAGGAGATCCGATTTTTAGGATAGCTGAAAAATTTTGATTTTTAGCTCCAAATTTTGCCTGCATTACGACATAGGTGAATTCTTGGTGGTCTTTCTGTAGAGCTTGCTCCGCTCTCGAATGGTACCTCAAGTCTATCTGGATACCAAAATAGCTCAATCTATTTAAAAATGGAGTTTACTTTTGCGACAACCTAATAGATAATAATGGTAAGAAAAGAATTCTAACGAATTGTGTCATTGTTCGCTCAAGATGTTGTTGTTTAAGTTACACAAGCTGTTCGCACTTTTCAATCCACCTACTTACGTGATGATGTAGTGCGGGATTGCGACAGATGCAATCTGTCTTAATTTTCTGCGCAAGTAACAATGACTTCCCATGACGCCATAAACACGCACAGGCCGTCGTTGACCAATCGTCATCCATAGTTAGTACGCGACCGGTCGTACAGCTGTTGGGCGATAAATTGGCCGAGTTCTCGTGAATTTATTAGGGTTTGCGCTGCGGCTAGAATTACATGTGAAATGCAATATTTTAAATGTGAAATGCATGGCGACTATTCGGTTACGGACTTTTTACCGTCATTGAAGCTCTAAAGCTCGCCGAAAAAAGTAATACATGTCGTTGAAACAGTGAATCTCCTTCTTGACTACTAGGATGTTGTGACATTCTCAAAATGTCATATGAACCGATCTGAACCAAAGCAGATTTGATTATGCACAAATGCGCTATTTCTACCTACAATGAGTGGTATTTTCAAGAAGAGGAGGAAAAAAGCATGACCGGAATCTCAGATTGATATCTAGGGCTTCTTGTAGGAGTATTTTTTGCCTCTGAAATTTTATAGGTTTGGTAGCTTCGAAAGTGGGCAAGGCTTTGATTTTCAAGAATTTATCGTAAAAACAGCAAAATTTTGGCAGGAAAGAGAGTTTTAGTGGCGTGATTTTTTCCCGAATTTCTTCCTGCTTTTATTGACTGTATGTCCTTGCAAGTGAAACCATTACAAGCATTACCCCAGGTTAAATACTATCACAACACAAATGGGACAAATCATGGAAAAACTAGTATAAAAAATTGCTGATGTTTGAAAAAGCTCATGAAGGATACCGTGAATAATGAAAACTACAGCTTATGGCAGATATCTACTAAATTTTGCATGTTACAGTCTGGTATGGGCAATTCTCATGGCCGGAGGAGTTTATCGCTTCAAGGAGGTCAACAATGTGCGAGATCATTTCAGGTACATGTGTAATTTTTAAGCGTTGTAACATTTTTGGTGTTTATTCACCATAATTACTTTGCTGAGAATTTATTTTTATACCCGACATCTAACGCTAAGTATAGCCTTGACCAATAAAGTATTGCTACATAGCTTTTTTCTGAAATAAATGTCTGTTCTAGTGCCTCGGACTCACCCTCACGATATGAATTTGCTGTGGCAAGGGAGTTTTTTCAAGAGCTCGGCAGCCCTTTTCATGTCGTCGTTGCACTGAAGGCTGCTGATGAAGGGAACATCCTCCGGCCGAAGTGAGTCGGACCTTTCTAATATTGCTACTTTCATGGCAATCCAATTGCAGATATATCGACAAGGCCCTCGAAATCGAGGACTTTTTGCAGTATAAACTGAAGGTTGAACATGAGGGTCGAATGTATGCTTATTCAGACTTTTGTGGTACACAATGCGAAACTAGCGATGCTGTGAGTGAAAATTGACTTATTTCCATTTACCACTTTTCGACAACTTGACCCATAGTGTTTCAAGGCTTGAGTTTCGTTAAAATGACGACTATCTTGAGACAAACCTCTCCAAAGGTTTCTTTCGCACTTCTAAACATAACTTCAATCTTTTTTGTCAGGTTCTTAGAGCTAGTGTTAATATATGGTAGATAATAGTATGTTTAGTATTTGATGAGCCCACTAATAGGCTGGTCCCAAAAAGCAAACAACAAAAAACTTGCATAATTACTATAGGACAGTAAAAAATAAAGTTCCAGCTTTCTTACTCTAGTTTAACTGTTTCCTTGTTCTTTGCAACTGAACGTGTTTTTCATAAATTTTGCACAGTAATATTTTCCCCAAGAACCTTATTATTTTTGCATTTTGCCAGAAGTGTAGGCAAGACATTTTGAGTTTTGGTTACTTTCTACAAGTGCAAATCGGACGGATATCTCCTCCCTTAATATGAACTACTTTCAGGTGAGTATTTTCCTGACAATGTTTCGAGACCAGCAACAGAAGAAGACCAATCATGTGAAGCTGACCTACCCATCTATGGATGTCTTTGGTCATCGCGTCTACCTGGCCAACAACATCTTTCTCGTCAAGACAAATAACCTGTACCTTTTGAAACCAATTAGGAAAAACCACTCTCCCAAAGAATTCCTTTCAGGTCACAAATCGTTGAAGAATCTGGTTTAGTGGCAATTAACTTTCATGCAATTTACAATAACGAGAGTTCGGTAGCAATTATGCGTAAATGGGAGAAAGTAAGTGGATCCGCAAAGTAGCGAAGGATTTCCTGATTTCCTGATGGCAGTAAAAGTGCAGATGAAATTGTTTCAGGCTGTTTTCGAATATTCGCAGTCTACAATCAATGATCCGTTGATTCGAGTCTTTTGCACCAGTGAGGGTCTTGTTTCGGAAGAAGTGAGAAGAACAGGTTGGAACTTTTGAACCCTTTTCTTGAGATGAGTCGCTTCTTGCCCGCCAAATGTGGCTCACAAGGGAAGGATAGTTGGAGCCGCGGCCATTCCTAATGATTTGTATACCAAAAAATGCGCCTTCGAATGCAGATTCTGAATGTGTGCTCGAAATCTGCGAAACGATCTTTTGAAGAAAGTTATGAACTTTTTTCCTTGAAAATTTAGCCTACTTTTGAATAGTAAAAATCACCAGATTTGATCTAGCCTACCGTTTGATGCTACTGAAAAAAATTTTAGACGTGGTAATATTTATTTAGACTATCTGGATCATACTCAGCATTTGGAAAGGAGAGAAAATTTTTTTTGATGATTTTGACCCCCTGCAGAAACGCAATTTTTTTTAATGAAAAAAATCATAACTCCATTCAGATTATCGTTTCGCAGATATGAAAGACAGTCTACGAACCAGCATTCAAAAGCGCATTTTTGGTATACAAATCATTATGAATGGCTACGGCATCCAAGTATCCTTCCCCTGTCAGACTCTATACTTGGCATATTATTCCATTTTTTCATCATATGGCCTCAGCTTTTCGAATTATTTTCAAAAAGTAACAAATTACAATTTCTTAATCCTTATCCTTGCTACTGCTGTTTCTTATAGCATACGAAAATTTCCACTAAAAGGAATGTGTTCATTGGATTATTCTACAGTCCATATTGTTCACTGCTGATTGATTTAGGCTTCATAGCAAATTAATTCCTTCATAATAATAAAAGAAAGTTTTTTTGAGATCAAAGCCCATTTTCCTGATTCTATGGAAAATGATAATAATAAAATATGTAGATCTCAAACATCAATTTTTGCAGTTTGGTTTTTGGTTACAAGAGATGATCAGGTTGTACATTAGTTGTGCACGCCTTAGCTTTCATCTGGAAAACTTGAAAAATATGAATTACTCTTGATATCAAAACAGTTAGCTTACATTACTTCAATCTTCATTTTTTTATTTATTTTCAAGAACTCTTCCCCTTTTTTTTCCATCTCTTTAGATTTTTATGAGATTCCGAGAGCATCTTAAGTAACATGAAGGCAGTCTAAAGGTTGAGCGCTCCGAAAACACAAATGGGAAAGTTAAGGAAAAAAGTGGGGAAGTCAAAAGTTTAAGGAAGTTATGTAATTTTTCCGTTAAGTGTAACAAAACTTATATAACAACCCAACAGAGATCATCGAGCAGTTCATTGTCACAATTATTCAGGAATACTGGCTATGCCATTGATGGGAGTAACTTTTCTAATCTTGATGGTCTTCACAATCACGACAACACTAAGGAAAGACCCAGTTAAGAGCAATCCGCTGGAGGCATTTCTTGGAGTCATCTGCCCTATCCTTTCTCTGGTCGCTTCGTTTGGAAACCTGTTTTGGGTAAAGCTTCTGCTGAATTGCTTATCAAGTGTTTGCGAGCCGCCATACGAATTTAGCTCGGCTTCGAGTTCCTGCCAATCGTAACTGTAGTGCCATTTCTTGTACTTGCGATTGGAGTGGATGATGTCTTCATATTCATTCACGCCTTCCACTTAACAAATGATAGGTAAGTCTATCTTGAGAAAAGCTCTGCTTCAGTACTTTTTTCTTTGAAAATTCGAAAAGCGAATCTTGCGGAAGTGACCAATCATATGATTTTAGACATTCGGTTCGGGAACGCATTGCTGAGACCCTCGCCGACGCAGGCCCCTCCATCTCAATCACGTCACTGACGAATTTGCTTTCATTTGGCATTGGAGTTTTCACCAATACACCTGCGATTTATGTAAGTTCGTTAATTCTTCTCCTAGCAAATAAATGGCACTTGGCTGAAAGAGGAGTTTGCTATCGATGCATATCGCCGAACATAGGTTGAGGTGCCAACAGATATCTGCCAAATGTTTTCCTGGAGAAACTTGGGGGCTTTTTGCGCTTATAGAGTGTAATGTAGTCGAAATGCTTCATTTACGGTTTTGAGGTTCCCAAGGTGTGTCAGAAGATTTTGCAAGAAGAATGTGCTATTTTCCATGTGCTTGAAAAAGGTGTTTGATCGAAAAACTGTTAGTTTTCTGTTCTTAGAACAGCCAAGGTGATAGCAATTTCCTCTAAACCGTTTGGCCTCCTTCCTTAGTAAAAGAGGCGGTAAAGGCATTCTCTCTACTGAACTACATTTTATAAGTATTTGTATTGCTTTTGTGGCCTTCTGCTCAAATTATCTGGAATTCTTGCAACTTTTTTGCGCATCAGTCGTCCACATACTTTATGTTCTTTATTGTACACAAAATTTACACTTACAAAAAAGGCAAACATCGTGGGATATGTTTGGCAGGCGGGAAACACGAATTTCCTATCAGATTTCAAGTTCTATCTTGTATGTAGTATGAACCTTATTCCAAACTGCCACTTCATATAAATTCCTGAGCTTGTAAGCATGTTACCTGTCTTTTGTTCAGACTTTCTGCGTATTCATTTCCGTCGCTGTTATCTACGACTACCTCTACCAAATTTTCTTCTTCTCTGCGGTACTGACACTCGGTGGACAACGAGAAGCTAGACGAGGCAATGCCTATCTATGCTGTTTGACAGTGCCGCCCCAATCAAAGGTATAGCACCATTTGTGAAGGAGGTAGCCTCAAAATTTCTTTTTCAGACTGTAAAAGAAGAGAAGCCTCACTGGATGCTACGTGCAGTGTCAAAACTGCTCGATTTTGTTCTAGATTCTTGGGTGGATTTCAGTATGTCAGTTTGGAGCAAAGTGATTGTGGGAGGTGAGTCACAAGTAATGAGCTGGTTCTACTTTGTGACAGTTTTTCAAGCTCGTCATTGCTGCTGAATAGAATATGCCTGAAATAAGAGTTAGTCCGATGCTTTTGTAGTCCACGATATTTTTTATATAAGTTTGAAATTCGTTGTTATCCATCCAAATTTATTTATACCTGCTATGAATATTGCAAAATGTTTGAAAGTGAAGTCCTTGAGTGGATGTTTTCATAGTTTTTATCGTCCTCATGTGGCCCTAACATGAGTTTTATTGCACTTTTTTCGTCTTTAAGTGGAAAACTCAAGAAGCTTTGGCAAAGTCTCTTATTTAGTGTTTATGAGAAAGGAAAAGGCATCATTCTCACCATCACAGATTTGAACTATAGTGAATATAAGAATAATATTGTCACGGCAGCTCTAACTTTTTTCTTTGACTGTTTAGTATTCTCTCACACTTCTCTCATTTTTTATGCGTTGTATTATTACCGATACGATGGCAGTTCTGAAGCTTTAGTTTTTCAATAAACAGTTGGAAATTTTGCCAGAAATGGTCCGGGAATTTTTTAAAAATTCAAAAATCTTATTCATCATATGTGATATCTATTTGATGAAAAACAATTACCCGCCACATAACTTGAAGAAGAAAAAATCTTTTATGAAAGAGGAAGACCCGTCAAGTGTTACAAAGCTTATGCTGCGACCTAGCATTCACATTTTTATGAGCAAAATAGCTAAGGAATTTTGCGGTAGACGATGGAAGTGAGGGAGCGAACAGCCGAAGAAAATACTCGAAACATACTAAGTTCGATTTGCAACTTTTTCCTGCACTTTTGCCGTCTCACGTATTTCAAATAACATGCTAAAGCCTCATAGCATTTTCCACAAGGAAAGCTAGGGTGAATCTGCACAAATAAGTGAGATGCTGTCATTGAGAGCTTTTGTCTGACTTTGATCCTCCTTTCGCCTTTCGCGAAATCATTTGGCTATTCATGTTTTTCAGGTGCGATGGTGGTATACTGGGCAGTGATGATTCACGGCGTGCTACAAATCAAAGTGGGACTCTCTTCGGAAAAACTCTTTCTTGACGACTCGCCTCTTCTCGAACTCGTTCGAATCCAGACAAACATCATCTTTAAAGAAGGCGGACAGGTTTCTTTTATCTCACTTCTACGCACAATCACTAATCGACATGCATACATACGCTCGTAAAATGCGTTCTCTGGCCGGATCTCATCCACGCAGAACTATCAGTTTGGGATTACGTAACACAGATAGCGATTTTGTTCTTTTAGCTACCTGGGGGATCCACTGAGAGTATAGTATTTTCGCGGTACATTTGGCCGGAGCAAATCTGCTCGCAAATTCTGAGCAATTCCTAAGAACATGCAGTAGAGCGGAAGTCATAGGTAAAGCTCAAAGCCGTAATTTGCATGTTATACAAAAAACTAAAATTATTTACCCACTCCTTTTGTCTGAAGAACGTTTCTTGATTTTCAAATTATGAATAATCATGCTTATAACATGTCAAAAACAGCTTTGAAAATTTGATAAACTGAAGTCATGTATGGAAAACAACAAGCTCTTTACCGAAAATTTAGTGCGAATTGCTTTTGCACAAAACTCGGTTAGAAACATGTCTTCGTGTATAGCAATTCGTCCTTTAGATCATGCTTTCAAAAGTTGAAGAGACTGCATCGCAACACTTTTGCAAAATACCGACATATCATAATAAAGTAATTTATCAAGTTGGAACATAAGTCTTGAACCAAAATCATTTGAAATTCGTTATCTTCTCCAGGTTCAAAAATCGTGTGAAATAATACATTCTAGAAAGAGAAAACCTTGCTTGTCTAAAATATCAAAGCGAGAACGTCATCGTCATATCGCGGCAACAGAACCTGTCAAAGGCGAATACTCAACTTGCTTTTTTCCAGTTTCTAATCCCCAAAATACTGAAAGGACCTTCTTTGAATAAAGTCAATTGTGCTGAAAAGAAGTCTCTACGAAAAGCTGTTTTGAAATTTTTATTTCGAGTTTTCAAATCGTCTGAGATAAAAAGTCTAATGCATACGATAAATTAGAATCAATCATTTACAATGAAAAAAATACTACACAGATTGGAGCTGAAGAGTGCTTTTTTCAGTGGATGTTTCAAAATTTTAGTGCAAGACTCAAGTTCCAGCCTAATTCTAATGAGTGAGCATTCCAATATAAGAAGAGCTTCTCCACATTTATCTCTTTGTATTTCACAGGTTTTATTTTGGAGAATTCATATTGCTGAGAGCTCCGCATGTTATCCTTTCAATCGAAAATCTTAAAACAGGCGCTGGATGCATGTCAAGAACAAGGGATATACGAGCCCTTGCCTGAAGGTGTAGCGTGTTACGGTGTATCGAATATAGGTGATTTTATATGGTTGTTACCAAAGATAGAAAACTAAACAATAGAGATAGGGGGAAGGGGATGGGATAGATGAGTGTGTCCTGGTGGTCTCCAGTCCTCTCTTATATGCATCCGTCTTACAATCTCAACAGCAGTTAGAGGCGGAGTGAGACACACAACAACAAATGATGTTACTCAATATTATTATGCCTAATTTTATGCAGTCCAATGAAATGACCTTATGACATGCAGCAGCATTGGGAAAACTTTTTTTTTTTTTGAAAACGAAGAGCAAGATGCATCGAAAAGTTATAGTGGACTCATACGTCATAACAATGGGCGAACAGATTTGTACTAAGGTTCTCGATTTACGGTGCCTTCTTTTGATAAACTATCAAATTGTGCAAGGACAAAGATATTCTCAAGCAAGTCGTTTGCTAATTTGCTGCAAATTAAAAGGAAATATTCTTGATTTTGAAACTGCTCCATAACAAAAAGTTGGCGAGACAATGAAAACCCCCTGAGAAGAGCTCGTGACTTCAGCTTGGACTATAAAAGTTTTCCACAACTTTCTTAACCCTCAAAGAAAGCAATATTGCATAGCGTAGATGTGAAAAAGTGTTGAGGTGTTTAAAAAGTTACGTCCTCGTCTGGAGCTGCTGATTTTAGCGCGAAAAAATCAATCATGAACATCGCTTGTATTTTTGAAAACTCTTCTAATTTCTCATGCATACTTTCGTTTTCATAGAACTTCGTTCACTCTGTGATTTCCCGTGAAACTTTAGGAAAACAAATGAGGCAATTCTTCTTTGCTGTATTGCCGTGATTTTCAATTTTAGCAGAGGAATCTTTTAGACATAAGTGTTGTACGCTGGAGATGTGTGCTACAGAATGCTCGTGAGATAAGTTTTGGAAAGATTTTGAACTTATTGCTGAACATGACATCTCGTTGTGGTCCTTATACGTCGCATAAAAATCATAAGAGTACTGCAAACACGGATCTTTCGATCTAGTGAGATTAAATCTAAAACATTTAGAACTATGAAACAAAAAAATTCTCAATTGCAGTGAAGTAAATCAAGAATTCCATCCCAGAAAAAGCGAATAAATGGGTCCTTCCATGTTCCGCAAAAATTACATATTTGGATCAAAGTTAAATCAAATGCAAATGAAAGTGTATGGAATCAAAATTAGCAGTACCGTTGACTTTTGAGTACAGTGAGCAGGGCTTGTGCACTTTGACTACGTTACAGATCAAACTATGATTTATCAAAGTAGAAATCTCAAAGAAGATGCTGCGCGATTTTCGCCTGGAAAGTTATTCTCGTTCTTGCTGCAATAAACTTCAAGTATGCATCGAATTGCCAAAAATTTGTAGATTGTAAACAACTTATTACACTCGCTATGATCATTGCTAAAAAGAGGTGATCGAAGTTAACTTTGAAAATGGGTAGAGCTTTCCTGGAATAATTTACACCTTTGTCCAGTTTTTCTCCTTTGCAGCTAAGAAAAATTATGACTTCTTCTGGGATCAGCAAGCAGAAGAATCAGATAAACTGAACTGTGACATTAATCCTTGTTCAGGTCGCGGTATTCGTAAATAAGCCCAGCGACATGCACCTGCCTGAAACGGTCCCGGAGATCATGAAAATACTGCGACGGTTTGAAACCACTAACAACAGCGTCGGAGCGGCAAGCACTCACATGTGGTTGCTACCATATCTTCCTTATGTTGGAGAAAAAGTGAGCTTATGTAGAATTTTGTCTATAAGAATTATTTAACGGTAAGCTTGCGCAAAACCATGTTTCTACTGTAATACTACTATATTCACATCAGTATCGTCGATCAATGATAATTGGAAGAAAATTCATGAGTCAGTCACCGTAAGAACGTAGCCTATGAAGTGGGATGTGATCTAAGTACAGAGTGCCTCAAAAGTGTACATGCACTCTTTGTTTGTCAATATCTCTCTTCTCATGAAATCTTTTGCCAGCACTTAACTATCCTTTTGTAGCGCTGGGTTACTTATCTGTGCAGTATAGAGCGGATCAGCCATCGCTTTGTATACTACTGTAGGAACTTCAAGAAGGGTTTTGATCTATTGGTCACATTTTGCTTAACAAAGAGAACAACAAAGCTACAAACTCACACTAGACCAATCAACCGCTAGTCCCATCTTCATTTATAATTCGTATGCCAACTATGCCGTAACTGTTTTCTCAGTATTTCTCAAAAAAAAGTAAATACACCAAGCAAATAGCTTTGCAGACTCGTAAAAAATTGAGCAGTGAATCAGCGTGCTAGAAAACACTGATGCACTTGCTGTCAAATTGCTTATCTTTTTGAAACAGCAGCTAATTCACGACGGCGCTGTAAGTTGGAAGTTTCTACCATAATCCTGTTGTAAGGAAAAAATTGTGATCTGCTTTATCCTGCAAATGTTGAAGCCAGCTCTTCAAACTGTCCCATGGTCGGTAAAAGATTATGCGGGAATGAGGACGATGGTGCATGCATACCTTTGGGACTCTCTGAAAATCATGATTAGACGCTTACTATACTGATTCATCGTTATTCTGAGTCAAAAAGCAAAGTCGAACTCCAAATTATGAATTAACTGAATAGCAAATACTCTGATATTGGAGTAATTCAAACTAGGTTATTGTTTTACTTGACGGAAAACTTTTCATAACTCCTTTGTAAAGTTGCCGTCATTTCAAGTTTTGTGGATCATGGATACTCAACATACATATGCACATATTGATACTGATTTTCCTTTCTACGTAAACTTATAGATTCTGGTTATCGCATTACTTCAAAGAGTGCATTCCACTTTTGCTTCTTAACTCACTAGTTAAATTAATTCAACAATTTTAAGCAACTCAGTCTCAAAATTCTTATGCTAACGCCTATTTATTCAATGTTTTTTGTAGTCAGCTTCATATAATAAAAGTTGCAGAAGTAATACGATCAAAACCAAAAAGTTGAGGTGCCTTTTGCGAGGCTCGCTAGTATCGCTTTCCCTCTTTCCATGTCTGATATGCGTAGAGTGTAAGGTAGAGGATCACGCTAAACGACTTGACAGTCTGTCTTTCAGGAACACGGCTCTATCGACTTCAAGTATAGGTACTTGCCGGAGTTTTTTAAGCTACAAGAATACAGAAGATGGAGTCATTTTGTCAATCTTGGAGACCATGCGTATGTTTCTGCATCTTTCTCAACATTGGAGCGTTATTCTCGATCATTCTAATTTATAGTGATTGCCTGGCTGAAAGACCATCCTGTTTGCAAAAATTTGTGTTCTCAACGGGATTCCACAACGCTGTGACGTGGACCGAAAGATTGAATCTGTTGGAGCAGTGGAGAAACATCGCGAAAGAGTATAGTCACTTGAATCTCACTGTCTACGAAGATTTTTCAATGTATTCCGACCAGGTAGGTCTTTACTGTGACTGCTCAGAGACAGGACTGTAACATTCTCTTTCAGCTCCTATCCATAGTGCCTGTTACGCAGCAGACAGTATTCTTCGCTCTAGTCTGTATGCTCATTGTTTTGACGCTTTTCACCCCATCTCCAGTCACCATTGTCACTTCTTCATGTTCCGTATTGTCAATCAACCTCGGTAAGTTGTTAGAAAATTGCCAAGCGCATTAAAAGGAATGCTAATCAGTACACAAAAACAGCCTGTGTAGTTCCAATATCTGGAACAAACTGATGCATATAGAAACACAACTAAACTCAAGAAAATGAATGTTGCAGAATCTAGTATAATATATAACGTTATTACCTTACCACACTATATTAGTTTCTTCAACTCAGACTATGGAAGTCCTTTGCACAATTTAAGCTCACGGAATTATAAGTTCAGACAAATCAGTTCTAACAAGGGAAGGAAGGTTGGTCAAGTGGCCATCTAGAATGAGATGTATACTGTCTTGTAGAGCTTAGAACGCTAATTCCAAATCTACCTTTGCTATCTGCTGCTGACTTTTGAGCGAGGAATTATGATGGTTTTTGTGAGTTAAAAGTTAAATGCAAGATTAGTATAAAACCAGTCGTAACTTTGTGCCAACGTATGAATGAGGCAGTTGCGAGTTGGTATATTTGAATCAAAAATATTTATTGCACTAAGTGACCCGAATATCAGTTAAGCCCTAGGAAACATGTTACGGCTGATTTTACACTAATCTTGCATTTAACTTTTTACTCACAAAAACTTTCATAACTCTTCGCACAGAAGCCCGCAGCAGATAACAAAGGCAAGGCAGACTTGGTATCAGCGTTCGTTCCAAGCTCTGCAAGACAATATACATCTCATTCTAAAAGGCCGCTTTGACCAACCTTCCTTTCCTTATAGAAATGTTCAAATGTTCATTGGCACCCACGAGGTACTTTCAAGATCAAGCGAAAGTAGAATTTTCACAAAAGAAGTGACAATTATTCAAATTTGTCCAGGTTTTGTCACTGCTCAATGCACCTGAAATTCATTTCCATACTGTAGATTGTCACATTCAAGACGACCGTGTTGTTTTCGCTGACTTCAAAGATTGACTATGGTGTCGAGAGTACTAGATGTTACAGCTTCAGTGTTTGGGGTCATATCAGTTCGGGGTAATTTCGGCCACGCCCCTTTTTGTGAAAACTTCAGGATTTCAAGCTCACAAGGAAACTCAAAAGCACTATGAATACTTTCTCGGAGAGGGTGAATAAAACTGTTTCCTCAATAAAAAAACTTCTGCCCCCCCCTCCCCGCCTTCCCATTGAAATTGGTCGGACCGCCTCACTGCAAAGAACTAGTTGCGGAATTTGTTTGGATTGTGTTTCATCACCTTCTTTCAGGTGTATTTGGCTGCCTTGTATATCTGGATATTGATCTTGATCCCATATCGATGACGACATTGCTTATGGCTATTGGATTCTCAGTCGATTTTGTTGCTCACATTACCTGGCACTACTACAAAGGCGATTTCCCGGTATTCTTTTAGCATTTTCAAAGTTTCTCAACAAATACGCAAATAATCGTTGCAGAACAAGCGAGAACGCATTCGTCACGCTTTGGCTTCCATTGCCTGGCCAATGTTCCAGTCAGGCACTTCTACTATGATCTCTATTGTTGTGCTCACTGCAGTTCATGCATATATGGTGAAAGTTTTTGTCAAGGTACGTACAGAAATTTTATAGATATGCACAAATCAGCAGCTCTTTGCTGAATTGAACCGCTCTCAACCGTGGGTGACTAAAGAAACGGCTTAAAACAACAAACAAGTTAAAGTCGACTGCACGAAATCGCCCGGGTCGCTTTAGACTGAACGCACGCGGGCATGCCTGCAACGCGGCTGCCGAGCACAGGCGCTATGATGACTCATGTGCCCGAATGCCGATGTTAGCCCGCAGGAGACGCTCGCGGCTGCTCAACCCGGACTATTTCGTGCAGTCAACTATACAAAATAGTTGAGCACAAAACAGTTAGTGTAGCTCGCTGCTAACATATGATTCAACTGGTTTGGCTGCTGGAAGGCGGACTTTGTGACCAAATCAAGGCCGCTCGCGCTCTCGACGCAGTTTGCGTCTCTTCCGCGCGCATGCTCTCTGATCATTACCGAGTTTTGATCAGGTCCGAAGCCCCGCCTTCCAGCCGCCAAGCAAGTTGAATCAAGGGTACGGGATCGCCTGCAAAAATTTCAAAGTTGTGAGATCACGCAAAGAGACTGCTAAAATTGGGACCACTGCATATGCATTGCTGTAGCTTCAAACTCAAATTTTATAGGTTGTCGTGCTCGTCGTCTTCTTAGGGATGTGCCACGGTCTCATCGTTTTGCCAGTAGTCTTCGCTGCTCTTCCTTTTAACAAAGCGACGGTGCCGAAAGAAAAAGCACACCCAATGTCCACAGTCGTGCCTAAGCATGCGGTTACGCGACAAGCTGGCCAAGCCTAAGTGTCATGCAAATGTTACGATTAACCGTAGTGAATATGTCAACTAGGATTTTTGTTATAGTCTCGACCTGACTAATGTGTTAGGCTTTCAAAATTGCTTCCGCGTAATTTATTTTGTCTAGCTCCATACTCCTTAACGGGTCATTGATTTATCGTGCTATAGTTCTGTTTTTGCTAAATTTCTCTGTTTGCATTGTTTGTACGTATTGTCGCTCATGATATAATACATATTCTAAACCATGCAGCAAGTGGCAAACTCCATTTCCGCCATATGACTGATTGACTGCTTGCATAAACTGTAAATTAATCAATTACCTTGTTTGGAAACATTATATTAGGTTGTTGCATAAGTTCTGTCCGATTTTTTTGCCTCATGTTTGAAGCAGCTGTTCTAAGAGAATTTCATCTCTAATGCGGTATTGTCAGTATCATTAGAAAGTGCTTTTCTTGCGCTTTCTAATGCATATCAAATTTCAATAAATTTCTTAGTGTAAGGAGATTTCAGGCCTAAAATCTCCAAGTGGCCGAGGTACGTTCTCACCCTAGAAATGTGTTCTTGCGAGGAAATCTCCACAATGCGCCCTTCAAGCCAAGTTTTTTTATTGGCTGCGGAATAAGCATGTAGAAGGCTAATATATGCCTAAGTTCGGTTCCATGGAGAAAACGTCTTGCTAGTGAAATTTGTCGTCGAACATTAATTTTCTGTATAGATGTTTTACAAGCTATAACTTTCTGCGAATAGAAGTAATCGAGGACTTCAAAGTCGCAGGTGCTAGGGCAAAGCAAGAGCTAGCAAAGCCCATCCACCGATTCCTTTCCGGCGCTCACGTCAATTGCAAAATTTTCATAACTCGTAAATAGGCATGCACACATGCTCTGAAGCGAGGTCAAAAAGTGGCTAATTTTTTGTTAGGTCAAAAAAATCTCTCGGCAGCGCACACCCTACGGGATCTTTCATGTTGCAAAGTAATCTACGAACATTTCTCTATCTGTCCATTGTTGAATAAGATGCCTAGCAATTCTCAGTAGAGAGCATTGCCATGTCAAAAAAGACAAGTTTGAAAGAAAACGTAGTGAAGTTTTTAAGTTCTTGCTTCTTCCTTAACAAGGATTTTCGCAGGTTCTAATATGTATCTGATAGCCAAGGAATTGCTCAACACAAAGAAGCTGAGATCTTGGAAAAAAGTTGACTTTGAAAGAAGTTATGACATTTTGAAGTCAAAAAATTCAAATCGGACAGAACTTATGCAACAACCTAATACTTCATCATTCATATACATTGATCTGCTATTGCAGTCTTTGCAAAAGACGCGTTCTTGGAAGGTGGGAAGTGAGCACAGAGTTTCAAGCTTTTTAAGAAATCGTGTATGCCTAACATATCTTATGTGGAGATTGCCTTCAAACCAATTTTGAGCAGTTTTTGGTATACACCAAGCTGGTACCACTATGTTGTAAAATTTATTAGATAGTAGCGGAGCAGCCGCTGACCAACACTGAATATGCGGAACAGTCGCTGACGATAGATAATCGAACTTACCCCAGAACTAAGTATTTAGGTCTTTTTATGCCATTACTTTGGGGTGGGTAACCTAAATGCTCACTTCTGGTTAACAACAGTAGCATACAGCATGAAGGATTGTCTACATGAAGGTAGGCGACGCCAAGTAGATTCTATCAAGCATAGCTGAGGGATGACCTCGCGGCTTAAGTGGTCAGTGAACAATAGTGTTTGTCAACGACAAGCTAGTGGATACTGAATACAGCATACAGTATGATTCTACAATGCTAAAGGTCGTAGATTCGCAGATAATCTACGACAGTAATCTTTCGCAAACTGATACAAGCAGCAAATATGGAATCTTCAGACTTTCGATCTCGACGCACTTAGCCCCTCGATCGTTTTCTTTGTGCTGTTGCTGCCTGCAGTCATGACACGCTTTTTTAAGGGCTTATTAATTATTCACGACAATGATTATATAAGGCAAAAAATTACCTCTGACAGGAGGAGCAATTCCCTTTCTTGCCACTAAGAGTTCGTTGAATTTTTCCGCCTTCGCCTCAGTCCGCTAAAAATACCACAGACGCTTTGAGGAAGAAAAAAGATGAACCAAAAACTGTAACTGGTAACTGCAGTGATGTCCGCATCCATCTTTGAAGAAGGAATGTGACTTGCAGGGTGCGCGCTTTGTGAATTGGAGCTATGCAAAAAACATTTTGACGGGAGTTTAGAATACAATTCTGAAGCCAAGATGTTGCGCTTTGGGTTTGCGAGTTATCTATGCTCACTTTTAACTGGTTAGCGCTAGAGAACCAGCTCGCACAAGATTTTGTGATTTTGATTCACTGGTCACTTAAGATTTCATTGTAAGAATGTTAGAGTTGGTGCTAGCTGGCACCAAAAATCTGTGATATTTTTCTACACAGCAGTAGTCCAATATCATGCAGCACTTGAATTTGGATAAATGTGCAAAACAATTTTTCCGAACAAAATGCGCAAAAAAATTGTGCGCAAAAAAATCTTATTAAGGTTCTGTTCCCAAAAGCTACTCAAGGGTAGAATTCTGACATGTTGCTTTTTTCCCGTAAAATGACATTTTTATGAAATTTATTGCACTCGCATGCGAAGCCAGCTACAGTAACTTATATTCTGCTATGTCAAATTTTGTCATTTTGAGCCGGGTGGCGACACTCCATTGCTTTCTCAAAACCCTTGAAATACATGATTTAAATGCCTATTCGAAGGAAGGTTTGTTTCTTTGAGGTAGCCAGCGAAAAGTTACGTTCTAATAACTATCGAAATAATAATGAATAGCATCAGGTTGTTTACGTTTTGTTACAGTACTTTCACAGACCCGACAACTTATTGTTTATCAATCTGACGCCTCAATATATAAGTTGATAATGAGACATAGCGAGTTTAATGTGCGTGTATACGACATTTACTTTTCTTCTTTTATAATTTCACCTTTTCTTTTCCCCTTATTCCCTTTATATGTCTTATTAGTTTACTGTTTTTACAATAATAAGGCTTCAGTATATTCACAGAATACAGTATTATAGCATTTTGCTCATTTTTTTGATTTATTCAAAGTCGTATTGTTTTGATGCTTGTCTGATTTACGTAGAGTGTCACAGTATTTGAATTTCTTTTTCCTGCAACGTTCATAGCCATAATGGGTTCGATTCTTTTGCCTCATTCAGAAACGCAGTTTTGTAGATGCCTTTGTCTGAGATCATATCATTCTCATTCTTTTGGGCTGGTCTGAGTTTAGGTTTTCTAGTTGCCTTTAGGATTAGTTATGTTTAGTTTATGTTAAGTATTTTCGTTAACGCATTTTGTTAATTAGCTTTTAGTAATAAAGTTTAATTACCCAAGTTTGAGTTGCTCTCAACTGTGCGTGCGTACATGTAAGTCCCGCGTGGCAGCAATTCGAGATCACAGCCCCGAAAAGCAATTCAGCTCATAATTCGTCAAAAAAGTCTCCGCACTCCGGCATAATGTGTCGGAGTGCGCTGCGCACCTAGTGGGGCGAAATGCGCCGAAAAGCAGCGTAGTGCTGACACTCCAAAGGAGTGCACCGGAATGCGCGTCGCATGAATATATATCACTTCAAAATGGGCGAATTCTGTATCCAAAGACATCGTTCGACTTAGCCCGGTGAGACGCATCAAATAGAAGTGTCAGAAAATTATCCGGGTAGGTATACGCTAGACAGTAATAATAAATAATAGATAATAATGTTTATAATTATATTTGAAAACTTTTCGTTCCTATCCTTAGACGGAGTATTGTACTGTTTCTATGCCAACCCCGGAGATCTTCAGTAAGGAAGGATGCTATGGTTAAAATAACTCATCCTTCTATATAAAATTGATATTAGAGTTTATATCTCAAACATTCAGTTTCAAACATTTGTTTAATAATTTTTGTTTTAACTAGGTTAATCCCAAATACTTAGCAAAAAAAAAACAAATTTCAATTTTTGAGCTTAGTAATTTATCTGGGCCCTTTTCATCGCCAGACTATAGTTTTCTTAAACTCTTCGTTTGTCTTCGTTCACTGTGGTCTCGCGTTGAACTTCTTTCTTTCTTGGATCCACTTGTCTTGATGTAGGAGACCTCCATTGTGATTTTGGCTCATAAATTAACCTTCCAAACGTGTAAAATTTGTTATTGAATGATTCATTTACAATCATTATCGAAGGGGTTTTAATTTATTTTGACTGTTTGCAATGAACGGTGGAGAGAGGTGAGTGCTTGATCCATCAAATCGTTCCTGAGAAACCGAATACTAGGACCGTTGAAAGTAGTCTATTGCCAAATGGAAAGAGAATGAGCCGTAGCCCATGGCTGTAACCAAAAGAAGAGGGGGGATTTGGGGAGGTTCAAAGACTCAGTTGTAGGGTTTTTGATGTAGAACAAAGATTTTAACTTACTTGTGAAAAATATTGCAAGGAAAGGAAAATTTATTTCTTTTTCTTGTTACAGCCACCTCAAGTGGCTGTCCAGGTCCTACACCTATCATCCTATGCCCACCACCTAAAACTCTGAGACCAGGCAAACATTGGTAAGACATTCCAGAGAACTTTTCGAGTGAATCCCGGGAATAAACTAAGAGGAAGGAGGGGAAAGTGAGAGTTAAAGGAATACCTAAGTGAAGCCAAAGAAATGTTCACTGTCCAATGTCCACTGTCCACTGTAGGTTGTAGACCCTTTCACTGGCTTACCCCGGCATAGCCGGGACTGTAAAATCTCGCAGATGTTGCAGTGTGAAATTTACGAGTTTTTGTTGCATTCCAAAATTCAAAGCGTCACCTTTCATGTTAATTTGCCAAGGTGAGTGAGGTCTAGCAAACCCAATCACGCAGAGCGCAAACGAGAGATGCACGCGCACGTAGCACTCTTGCCCACAACAGCCGGGGAGACCCGGGCATCAGGGACCCGAAGGGTGCCATGAGCATGGAGAGGTTCATCCTCTTCACGTGCCCGTGCATATACTCT